TATATATATATATATATATAATACACGTGGCCTCGTTCTTTCTTATTATCTCCAATGAATGTGTGCGCACGCGCGCGTCGTATGGTGTGGGTACCTATGTGGTGCAACAGTTAGCCAGTGACCTAAGGTAGGAACACTCGCGGAGTCACCCCCATGCTTCTTCAGTGCAACACACGTGCAACTGGGCTATCGATCGCTATAGCGGGAGCGAAGCTCCGGGCGGTTAATGAAAATAACTATAGTAAAGTACACCTCGCGCTCGGTGTGCACTGCTTAGGGCTTTTTTTATGTGGCTGTACGTTCGTCGAACCCCCGTAGACTTTGTGGAAACAAGTACACTCTCTCTCTCCTTTTGCTTCTCCATGACGGTGTAATACGCCCCGATTGCAGGAAGGGAAAATAATTGCATATCACTTCTGCTGCTTCAGCATTTTCTTTACGATGTTTATGATGTTTACGATGTTTGCGATGTTTGCTGTTGCTTTACACAATGTCTATGAACAAAATTTTTATTTATTAAAAAGCCGATTGATTTGCGCTGATTTAATAAGTTATTTTTTTTTGTTTGATAATTTATTGATGCCTCGAAGAAATATTTTTCTAAATTATAATAAAAATTATAATTATTTTGGCACTTGCAGTTTTGGCATTTGTGATTCATTCCTTGTCAATAAAAGCATGGTCATTATTTATTTTACAACAATTGTTTTATAGCGAATGAACGGATCTTAACTTACAGGATCGTGATAAGGGTGCAGCCCGTATACATTTAGGTGACACTATAGAAGAGCTTAAGAAATTCAATGCGAGGCGAAAATTGAAAGACGCCGTAAAAGCAGCCGTCTCCTCGTCGAAGTGGCATGCTCCGTATTCAGAAGCTAATGGCGACAATTTCTCTGACGTCGGCGATGATGAGATAACTACAGGTATATCGAACGCGAGCGATTTCGGAATTTCATTTCTCCGATACGGTACAAATATTACAAAATGCAATGCAGATAAACGTGTTCCCCTCGACAGATATTTAATTTACAAGGAAGAAAAGGACAAACAGATTTTATTTGGATGAATTTAATCTGTGTTCCAATTATCAGAAACATATTGTACAATATTAAAAATTAAATGAGAAAGCGTTTTAACGTTTCGCTAACGTCAAATTTGGTTTCTTCAAAAATTCAAAAGTACTCTGCATGCATTTAATTGATCGTGATATTTTCAGCAATAAAAGTAATGATGATATGATATAGGTTAATATTTCGTTCACATGTTCATAGCTTACTATTTCAACAATGAGAGATCGATGGTATCGTGTAATTTGGAAATTCCGTTATTTCCGCGAACATTACGTTAATAGGCCAAGCAAATGAGCGCAAATAAGCACGAATGAATAATTTGCCTCAATGAGTGGGAATGGCGTTACTAGTATAAATTATTTATTTATACATATATATGTTTACGTTCGCTCGCTTGATCTGCATCCAGCTTAATTGAGATTACTCAGTATTATCTACCGCTATATACATAGATTACAATTACAATAAATCATCAAATGCTTCAATAACGATTTCGTAAAATCAATATTTCATACGTTCTTACGTTATAGGCGCTGTAGCTGAAATTGTGGATTGCTTGGATGACATTGAAATTCTTGAGGAAAGTGACAGACTGTTGCGATCGGAAGTTCTCAATGCCGTTGATGATCATCGAATTCGAGTCATCTTAGAGGTATTTTTTACAGCTATTCGTAATTATATAAAAATAATAAGAACATGCCGACTTGGCAAGATAATGAAAGAGTAAGATTAAAAGATTGCAATGAACTATGAAATCTCAGTATTCAAACTTTTCACTTATCAGACAGATAATGTCGATTTAATTGTAAATGTATGAATTATCGCGTATTCATTGCGAAAATACTACGCATGTCCTTTAATGTCTTTAGATATTCAACATAAATTGACTTTAATTATACAGTAACTTCTGTTTGTACGATAATCGATTGTTCATTTTATTTTTGTTCAATTTTTATTTTGTTGTGCGAATTTTCGTAACTATAATTGGGTCTTAATCGGTAATAAAATATTTCTGATTCTGTGCAGATTAGAAATAAAAAATTTATGTCTACCGTAAGAATTAGTTAAAAATTGAAACACTTAATCTTAGAAAGCAAAGTTTTGTTCGAAAATAGTTTACTGTATAATAGATTCTTTTTTTTTTAATATAATAATATTTATTAATAAAATCACCTGGTAATATCATCTTAATTATAAAAATATAACTCGTTAAATGTACGTATAATGAAATTACAATTTTATACATTTAGCGAGTTTATTTCTTCTTTTTACAATTAAAAATATAAAAGATGTGATTTGAGTAAAAAGGAAACTCTAAAAAAATTTTATTACAAATTGCATCATTATATTAATATTATTTGTTTCATTAATTCGACATTTTTCCAATAGAAAGAATCGTCACTTTTATTTATTCAAATAATTCTTTTCTTCACTTAATTTTCATAAATAAGTAATTTGTAATAGGACTTTTCTTTATGTCTGATATTATTTTTGTCTGATATTATTTATATTTTTATCAACAGCGAAATTTTCTGCAATCAATTGTAAGTAGCAAAGACAGAATGTTTTTGTCACACGTAGGGTAAAACAGAATGAATTTCTTACCAAGGGCGGGTAACGACCATCACTTCCCTTTCTTGAAACGCTTGCGTATATATTTGAATTGTTATCTTTCGATTCGCCCAGATCGATAGCCATGTTGAAAGGCACCCCTTTTTTGCAATTGAGTTTCGTCGCTGCAGAGCTTGAGCTTTTCTACTGAGAGCGGAGCCACTCATCCCCAACTCCCTCAATGGTCCCCCCCCCGACCGTGGAGGGATAATGTAACCCTCTGCGGAATATCCCGCGGGAACGAGCTGCTCACTCTCGTTCCTTTCGAGGAAAATCACGCAAGCGCTACCTCCGAGCTGGCAAGATGGCTGCCGTGGAGTCTCGATAAACAACATGCCACGCACGATCGAGGAATCGCACTATCGCGCCAACACGCGTGTCAATGTAAACTTGTTCTTTGGTGTTTCTTGAAGTGTCACGTGGCCGAATGAGCCACGTGCTAGGACCATGTTACACGTAGTCCTAGTCTGATGAGGCTTATGCACTGTTTATGCAGCAGAAATGCATCTTTGTCAGTTAATGTTCATCGGCGATGCCGAGTTAGCCAGCGATCTGCTCGAAATCGCAGGTTTCCTGGTGAGTAAATTAATTCGATCAAGCCAAATATAAAGCAGGAATATTATCATGCAAATTCGGAATTTTATATACATAAGTAATACCGAATTGTCGCAAATTTAAGCGCGTTCGCTGTATGATCGGAATATGTCGTGAATTATTTACAAATTGTTTTCAATCTCACTTGTCAGTATATGTGTTATCTAATAATATTATAATTTTCTTAATTTTCAATCTTTTTAACAAACACTCATTTTTTATTATGTTATATGATATTTATTATTTAAATTTATTTTTTACTACGTTTTAAGAATATTTTATGTATTAAAATTAAAAATAAAAATAAATATTGCGTGGAATTAAACAATCACAGAAAAGTTTGAATACTCGATGGGTTTAATCTTTTTAGTTATTAAAAAAATGTTATATTTTTTAGCATTTTAATAAAAATAAAATTTAATAAAAATGAAATCTTGCAATCTGCACTTTTAATTTCAGAAAATGTGTGATGATTATTTTTTGTTAAATAAATACGATAATTACTTGTATAAACGATATGAAAAAACAACAGAAAGATTTAAAAAACTTACATTAATGATGATATTTCTGATTTCTAGCTTTATGACAGAATCTCAGGTCGTGTACCTGCACCATATCGAGCACCACAAACGGATGCGGTTCAACGTGCTCATGACGTTGAAGAGATTCTTCGGGAAGCAGAGCATTCGGCGGTGCGAAATATCGATAGAGCCGATCTTCGAGAACTTCACGAATTATTGGTCCAGCCACATATGAGGGTAAGTACATTATATTAATGTAACATTAGAAAACTAATGCAGATGGAATAAACAACTTGCTCTCTCTCTTCCGCTTTTCCATCACAAAGTTAATTCTTTTAACTTAATAATTAACGTATCTATTAAGCTATTATTAAAAAAAATTTTTTATCAATTTCATGTCTTTTTGTTTACATATATTATTTTATATGCACTATTAAAAAAATTGTTGAAAATTGTAAACAAAGAAACTGATACATTTTAAATCAATCCTTAATATAAATTTATTTATTAACGAATATAATTCTTACTTGAAATATTTTATGCATAATGTTGGAAATTACAGTTTGAGATTGCATTGTTGTGTCAAGCAGTTATTGCAAAATCGATCGTCAGTAGTTACGGGCTGCGTCACATTTGTAATAACCCAAGCGTTAATCAGGCACGACTTGATTCGTATTACATTACGAATCAATAACGATTTTTCAATTGCTCACGTGAATGAATTCAATTAATAAGAAAATAGGGGAAATATTGATGATTAATTACAGCTTGAATGATACAAAGTAATTTCTTAAGAATACCTTTAGATATTGATTTAAAAAAAAAGCTATTCTCTGTGTATCTTTTTATTAATAATTATATAATATTTTAATTATATATTTTAAATATTAATTATAATCGAAAATTCTGATACGAAAGTGTTGAAGTCATAATTGGTTTCGATTTGTTTTAACATAGAAATTATTATGATACAATTTTATATTATTTTAACTTAATTAATCTTCAGATCTATGCTGTTACAATATTATACAATGGTTATGTAATATTCTGTACATAAATTAAATGATTTGTAAATATGATTTATTCTGATAAATATTACTGGATTACTGGAATTTATTAATTACATAGTGATTATTAACAACTAACAACTAACAAATGAATAATTGCATTATAGAAAATTCGCAGTTTCTTTTATTATACATGTATATATATAATTTCTCGTTATGAATATAAATATTATACATATTACACACGCGCGCGCGCGCACACACACACACACACACACATACACACACACAAGGTAG